ATTTGCTAAGTGTCCAGCAACTGGATGTTGCAGCGGTCATATGGCAGGCCCTCTTGGCATTTCCCCAGGGGATCTTCTACCACTCCCAGACCAGAGAGCATGCCCTGTGGGACAGACCTGGGCTGAGACAGCTCAGCACTTCCCGAGCTCAGCCACCCTTGTTCCACCTGAACTGTCATTTACTTAGTATCAGCCTTTAATGCAGCTCACTTTTTAGTTTATATAGTTCTATTTTTACAGCAGACTGTATATGACTTCCATAAGTGGAAAAACCAGTATCGCTCCCCATAAACAGATGCTAGTATATAAAAAATTTAAAAACATATATGTTTGTATCTGTACATATGCACATACATGCAAATATACTATGTATAAACCTAACAGTGTGTATGTGCACATGTGTATGCACAAACAAAACCAGAGCAATGGACTATGATTCTGGCCGGGGCTGCACCTAGCTCTGCTGGATAAGAAAGGAAATGGGCAGGTATTAGGGAGGTGTTAGGAGGCAGAAAGAGGCTGGGCAGGGCCCCTGCCCCCATAGTCCACAGCAGCCTAACTAAAACCTTCATTTTAAACTGTCCTGGGACTGTGGAACCTCACAGTAGTCCAATCTAGATCAAACAAGTTGCCCCAAAACAGAATCCTCTCCTCCTTTCTCCAGTGATACTGCCGCATACCGACTTCCTGTCGGTGCCCTGTTGAGATCTGTGGACTCAGCAATGAAGGTCCATGCTCTAAGGCCTTATAGCCCCTACCCACGTGCCACATGCCCAGCTTGAGCAGGCACGATCTCACCTCTCTTCCTCTGCACGTGCTGTGCTCTCCCCACTCCAGTGAACTCCTACTCATCCTTTTAAGAGCCACGTCCTTATGGCTTTCCCTGACATCTCTCTCAGCTAGTAACAGTCCCCTTTGAATCCTCTCCCAGCAGGGTGAACCTTCCCCACTATGGCCTTACTGTTGCACTTGGCATCTACCATAATTACCGATGAACCCAGATGGCATCCTGGTGGGCAGATGGCAGATGTAGAGCCATTCCCAGAGGAATGGCTCTACAAGCCACTGCAATTTTGCTCACCCTGAAGCAATGCTGAAAGTGAAACAGGTTTGTTTGTTTTTAAATAGTTTGGGTAAAGCCCCAACTATGAGCAACCAGAGGCTGATTAAGACTCCATACCTTCCTCTCCGAAAATGAAGGATGAATTTCCACTACTGGAACTAATTACAAGAAAGGGGGAATTCTGTGTTCCTCCTGCGGCTGCCTTGCCCTCTTTCTCTAGCTGTAGAAAGGTCACCTCACTCTGCTCTGCCCGCTTCCCCAACATCCTGCCCATTTTTTGTTGATGTAGCTGCTATGCGGTTCCTGGCAAGTCCCTAACCTTCTCTGGACCCGGTTCCTCATCTTAGAATTACCAGCACCACCACAGTAGCAGCAAGGAGGGAGCGTGGACTACCACCAGGGACCCATCGACTCTTCCTAACATCCTCATGAGGTAGGTGACCCTATTTTACAAATGAAGACACTGAGGCACAGAGGGTAAATATCTTGCCAAGGCCACTGAGCCAGCGAGTGGCCAGTCTGTGGTTGGAACTCAGTTTAATCTCTGCCTTCTGGTCCCGCACATGTCACCGAGGTGGGACGTCCATGGAAGAGGGGAACAGCCTGACTGACCAGTCCTCGGTATCGGACTGCGAGGATCAGAACACAGTAGGTACACAGAAAGGGTTGGAGGATTCAAAGGGGGCTGTTACTAGCCTGGGGCATGAATCCATGGGATCTGAGGCAACAGCACAGGGTCAAACTTGGCAGCTGGAGGCCTGGCCCTGCTCCCATGCTAGGGGAATGGAAGGGGAGGTGGATGGCACGAGTGTCTGTCAAACACCCTGGGTTCCCCTAAAATGGAGGACAATAGTGCTCCTCCGCAGAGTGGGGATCCAGAGGCCACAGAGACGGCAAATCCATTTCGGGAACAGAAGGGCTCAAGAACAGGAGCGCACAGGCGGCAGCGTCCACAACCTGGGCGACATCACGGGGCCAGAAGGGGAGAGCAGAGGGAACCCGCGCACACTGCGCGGCTACGGAGTACTAGCTGAGGTGCCGAGGACCCATTTCGCATCGCCCCGCCCCTCCCTTCTTCCGCGAGCCTGGGCGACGCGCGCGCGCGCGCGCGCGCACGCAGTGGGGGCTCGTACCCCGGATTACCGGGCCAACCAATGGGGGACGGGGGCGGGGACGACGCACACTGACTGAGAGGTAAACACGGCCACGTGACCGACAGCCCCGCCCCCTTGGGACCGGTAAACAGGCTCCCGGCTGGGGCCAGAGCCCGGTCTGCGCAGGCTCGCGCCGTGCTGGGGGCGGGGCGCCCCGCAGAGCCAGGCCTGCCCCATTACCCCACTCGAATTTAAAGCCGGGCAAAATGAGAAGCGAGGTGGGCTGGGGGCAAGCCTGCAGGGGTGGCCTTGCGCGAGCGACTCAATGGCTGAGGCCTCTCTTTACCCATCCGTGAAGTGGGGCTACCAATGGTCTGGCTTTTAGGGTTGATATTCCTATTAGATGTGTTAAGCCATGTGAAGTACTTGGTTCATTATGATACATAATAAAAGCAAATAAGCCTTAAATCAATTTCAAAAGTCTAGAGAGTGCAAAAACCTGCCAAGGATCCAGTCCTGGACTCTGCTGCTGCTGCCCAAACCGAGTCTTAGGAGAAGGAAGCACCTCTGCCTCTGGCTCTGTTATGAACTTCTTGTCATAGGCGCCTTGGCAGGGCCCCTTAAGGCTAGGGCCTCATTTCCCAGATGGGGAGATGGAAGTGCAGAGAGGCCAAGGGCTTTGCCCTGGGTCACACAGTTGGTAAGTTATAGAATGGGGTTCAAAGGCAGCCTGGACTGGGTCCACAGCCTGAGCATTTCCTACTGAACTAGCCATCAGCGCCCCCCACACAAGAGATCCTCTGTCACCTTTGCCAGAGCTGGCTGTATATCAAAGGGGCTAGGTCTCCAAGCCCTGGGGTCAGACAGCCTGCAGTTCAAAATGCCCCAGCTGTATCCCTGGGCAAGGACTCATCTGTAAAGTGGGTTGCCATGAGTCAATTAAATGGGCCAGTGCCTGATCACAGGGGCTTACTGATCAGCAGCTTCCTTACTGCTGTGCCCTGAGCGTTGGTCATTACTAACGCTCCACGGAGGCGGTCCTCCCTAGAAGATGCCGTAACCTTCGCAAGTGGGAAAGGATGAAAGGAGCACGGTCTCAAAGGGAGAACAGCAGTCCTGGGCAGGTCGCAAGGACAGCGAGGTGTCTGAAGGTCTCTGCGGGGCTGAGAACACCTGTAGCTGATGATAAAACATCCCCTGCCCTATGCCCCCAGCCCCTTCCTGTGCCATTTGCTGTGCCTGCCAGAAGAAGCAAGAAAGCTCTTCTGCCCCGCCTGCTGGGGAGGAAGGCAGTCATTTGTCTGCTGGGAGAGAAAATAGGCAAAGCATGTAAAGGCTTAACAGGAGCCTGGCACAGAGCTGGTGTTCCTTTAGAAAATGTGTTTGTTGTTGTTAATATAAGCCTCCCTGGCCAGAGTGAGGAGGGGATTGTGGAGCAGGAAAATCTGACTCCCCTCCCCACTGATGCCGGCACTGCCCTAGCCGAGCCTCCCAGGCCTGCAGGGAGCAGCATGCCCAACGACCCAATCCTCACCTTTCTCAGCTCCTGCTGCAAGCCAGACCCCCCGAGGAGGAAACTGAAGACAAAGTGGGTTACAAAGGAGCCCTGGGTCTCCTGCTTCTCCCTCTGATGTTCTGTCTTCCCCCAAGTGAAGTGGGGTGACAGAGTGGATGACGTGAAGTGGGGACCACAAGGCACGCGGCAGTTATATTCTAGTAAGGACCTCCCTCTAGGTCTCAGTTTCCCCATCTAAGAACTCAGCTAAATGATTTCTAGGCCACTTTGAGTTTCTGTGAGGAATGGAATTCCCCAGGTCCCTCTCCTGGCTGGGGGAAACTAGAAGCTGAACTGTCTAACTATTAATAGCAAACATTTACTAAGTGCTCGGCTGGCTGAGAATGCACCAGGTACTTTCTAGCCATCACCTAATCCTCACAACGCTGTGACAAAGGCTTTGTTGTTCCAGTTTGGAGATGAGGAAGCAGAGGTGCCACCACATTGGGGGACCTGCCCAAGGGCTCACAGCTGTCCAGCTGTGAACCAGGCCAGGAACCCAGGACCAAAGTGTGGGGGAGTCACAGGTGCCCCAGTCATCTGGTCAAACAGGGCTCCCAGAACTTCCTTGGTGGGTCATAAAAGGTAGTCGTGAGGGGCCCATCTGGTGGTCTCAGCATATTAAGAAACCAGTGGCCCCCGGGGCCAGGGCTCCGGCCAACAGAATCATGGAGGGACTGCTCTGGGGGCGCTATGTCTTCCCTGCTGATGGAAGCTCTGATGGGCAGACATATTCATTTGGGATTAATAAAAATGGGAGATAGAACTTTTAATTGATAAGTATCTCTGCTCAGAGAAAGAAATCTTTCAAAAGATGGAATCTACAAAGGAGGAAAAATAGCCAAAAGTGCCTTGAAGGCCACCAAGCTGGGACCATACTCCAACACAATGCCTTCTGGTGCAGAAGCTAAGGGGGGCAAGTACCAGGGAGCCAATGCTCTGGCTGCCCACCCTGGGCTTCTCCCTCTAGCTCTCCTGCACTCTTGCTGCCCCTTCGCCCAGGCCGGAAGTCCACCTCTCATCTGCCCAGTGAAGGAAGGGACCCTTCTTCAGTCCTGGGGTGTTTGGGAAGGGGCAGCAGGAGCAGGAGGAATGCACAAGTGCATTATCTTGTTGGCCAGCCACCAACTCCAACCATAAGGATGCCTGCAGGTCACCCTGGACACAGGCCCAAACCTTTCACCCCACAGGTGAAGGAGCCCATTGGGAGAGCAGGGCCTGGACTATTGAACCCGTTTTGCAGAGAAGGAAGCTGAAGCAGCATAAACCATCTTCCCCTCTGCTGTCTCTTCCCACCATGCCCCCCAAGGTGCTCCCTAGGACACAATACCAGGCCAGCCCCCTCCACCAGCACAGCAGAAAGCCCCTGGCACAGACAGCAGAGGCTCCACGCAGAGGGGGGTTCCAGGAGTAGGTCTCTGGGAGACAGGGCAGGGAGGTGGGGCACCTACAGACCAATGGGGAGGCCCCACGACTTGTTCATTCACCCCCCCCCAAACAACTCCCTGCTGGGATGTGATTGGTTGTGTGAATGATCCTGATTGGGCCTCTGCAAGATAGGTGGAGCGACTGGGAGAGGTCCTAGACCCAGCTCCCAGCCCCCCAACTCTAAGAGGGAAGAGGCACAAAGGAGATACCTGAAAATGAGAAGGCCTAGTTCAACTCTTGCTGTGTGACTTAAGGCAAGCAGCTTACCCTCTCTGAGCCTGTTTCCTCATTTTTAGAGATCACCAGCCCACCTGCCTCACAAGGCTGTATGGGAACCTGCTCTGTAGACAAGAGTGCTGTCCAAAGGCAAGGTGGGCTTAGGCTCTGTCCCTAGTTCTATGGCACTGAGGACTCGTGCCCCACTGGCTAGACTTGTCTTATCCAGCCCCACAAACTCCTGCCCAAGCCCTGTACTTGCTGTGGCTTGGGGGCTTCTCCACCCGGCCAGCAGCCATCTCTGAAGCCAGGATGCTGGACCTTCACCTCCCAGGTGCCAGGAAAAGCAAGAAGGAGGGTAGGGGAGGCTCCAACCAGAAGATGGAGCTCAACCAAGGGGAGCAGGTGAGAAGGGAAGCTGGGGCCCACCTTGACCATCATGTGCTTCAAGCCCCTCAGCTGGCAGAGGGGCAACTGAGAGCCAGACGAGATGATTTAATCAAGACCTGCCAACCAATTACTAGAGCGGCTATAGCTAAACGCTAGACAGGCGAGAGGGCAAAAGGTGGACGGAGGGATGTACAGGCAGGCAGACACACACACAAAGGACCTTACTTTGGGGGCCATCCTTTCCACTTCACCAGATATTCGACTTTACCCTGGGAAAAAAGAGAAGCAGACACAGTGAGATACACAGTAAGACAACCACTCACAGGACAGTAAGGCCCAATCCCCTCTGCAGATAAGACATCCCCCAACACACACACACAGACCAGGGAACTCCCCTGCACCAGATCCCCACCAACCCAGAGACCCCCCCAAACTTTCATTGCTACATGACCACCCCAGACCACCCTCCCTACTAGAGCACAAGAGTTCCCCTGGTCCCTGATTGTTCTGGGGCTCCTGTGGCAGAAGCTCAGAGCTCATGTCACTCATGGGGAAACTGAGACTACATGGGGGTGTGTGTATCACCAGAGATCCAGTGTCCAGAGTCCCAGCGCTAAGACCAAAACTTTCTTTCCTTTTTAGATCAGAAGACTCTCCAAATCATAGAAAATTCCTCGCTCAGGTGTTCCCCAAGGGTCCAGTCCCACCAGCCCCCTCCCTGGGAGAGGCAGGGCTCTCGATTCAAAAGTTCCTAGCAGGGCCCCAGAGAAAGTTGACAAAGTCTCCACCTTTAGAAATGATGGCCACCCCTCCAGTAGTCAGAAAATCCAGCCAGGTCCCCCCCTTCCTCACAGCTCACAGGGGCCTTCAAAAGTTTCCAGTCCAACCTCATCCAATGGCGGAACCCCTCCACACCAGAACTCTGAGGCCAAGATATGTCACCTCTTCAAAGAGGCCTTTCCTGGCCACCCTTCCTAATGTTATCCCTCCTACTTCACAATTCTTTCTGCATAGCACACAGCCCCACCGGAAAGCATCTGTATTTATTTCCTCATTCATTGGGTGTCTCTGCCAGAATATCTGGTCCTCGAGGGAATAGGTGTATCCCTCCTTGGGGCTTAGAATGGTGCCTGGTATATAACAGATCCTCAATAAATTTATTTTAAACGAATGGCTGAAGGAATGACGCTCCTCAGTCTCTGGCACTACCCCTCAGGCTGGTGTAGAAGGAGGGTAATCACTGTATCTGCTTGGGCTACACTTCATGGAAAGCACTGGGTTCGGTGGAATAAATTAAAATCGAGGAAACTCTGGAGGATGGGAGAAGGAGGAGGGGCAGCGCGAACTTGAAGACAAAAGTTCAACCCCATCAGAGTTGGAGAAAGAAGCTCATGGCTCACCTTGACCTTAGCCCAAGATGTCAGGACAGTTTTTTCTCTGGAAAGATGAGTTGGCAATCAGCCAACTTGAGCTCCTGTGCTACTTCCATCTCTAACTTGTTGTGTGACCTTGACCAGGTCACTTCCCTTGCCTGGGCCTCAGTTTCTGCCTCAAGTGGGAGGCGGTGACCTCTAAGCCCCCTCCCAGCCCTGTGGCCGGAGCCTCCGGAGGGGCTGCAGAGAGGAGATGGGGGAAAAGGATGGTGGCGAGGGCCAGGAGAGGAACTTTCCCCAAGGACTCGCAGCCCCAACCTCCGGTCCGGAACGAGCCCACTCTGCAAACATGTGCACAGGAAGTGTGGACCGCCGAAGTCCAGCCGGAGGCGCGGGGACCCAAACCCAGGAGAGACCTCCTTAAATTTCAGGGTGTATGTTTTGTAGGCGGAGGCCAAGGCCAAGGCGAAGGGGGAGGAGTTTCGAGGATACTGGAGCGCTGTAGGCGGCTTCGCTGAGCCCTGCCGGGCGGGGCCGAGAGTTGGGGTGGGGAAGACCGAGGGGTGTGCACTGGAAGAGGGAGAGAAAGATGGAGGTGGGGGTGTAGAGAGGATCGGGAAAGGTCGAAGTCCAGCAGTTAAGACTTCTGAGGCAAGAGGCTGTTCCAAAGCTCCGCCTCCAACTTCAAAGGTCTTGGTACCAAGAGTCCAGAGTCCTGAGTTCGAGACCCAGCTCCGACGCTCACACACTAGGCAAGACGCTTCCTCAACTTGGGCCTCAGTCTCCCCATATTTAGGATGAGGGGAGCGTGAGGAAGGATGGCGTTCAGGATCCCTACAGTCAGATCCTCATCTCCAGCTCTGGCGGGCTCAGCTGCCCCCAGCATCCCGGGGCGACAACTTTTATTCTACTCGCCCTACCAGGTGGCGGGGGAAACTGAGGCATGGGCTGGGAAACAAGCCCACTAGCGTGGGGCTGCCTGGGGCCCCCGCCCCATTTTCCCTTCGCCTCCAGCGTGGAGCGGATGGTGTTGGGAGCAGGAGGGGACCCCAAAGGGGTCCTGGGAGCCGCCCCCCGGCAGCCTCACCTTCCTCACGCGCTTCTTCCGGATGCTCTCCACGGCGAACACCTGCTCGCCGATGGCTGACAGCTCCATGTGGGGCGGCGGGCGAGCGG